TCATTCATGGGTAGCATTCATTGCGTAAATTTATTTCGTAATTACGAGTTTTTCCTTCTTGTGTACCTAGCAAGTCTACACTCTGATTTTTTTCTTTTAACATGTAATCTTACCATCTTTAAACTTCATTTTATTCCTATTTAGGTCTATTCATTATTTCTAATTTTAATCATTTTCTTACTTAGGCCAAAAGGATTATTTAGGGTTTATTATAGGACAACCTCTAATCAAGTAGGTAACGTATCAATTTTTGAGAAAAATTAAATCTTATCCTTCTTTTAATTAGACACTAGACATATTGATTTATAACATATCCGAAAATTAGATTTAAATACCAAACACACACTTCATAACATAATTTTGAAATTGAAGGATTAATCGCCCAGCAGTAGTTTATCCGGAATAATATGTACTAAAATGGGTATAAATTTTTTTACATAAACCTAATAATGAAAATATTTTATAGAAAGTTATTTAAGACATAGATAAACAACTTTTATGTTTTAAGGTTTTACCATAAATCATTTTAAAATCCTTGAATAGGCAATACAAAAATTGGACAAAAACTACTCCTCAATAACATTGATCTAGCCATTCATTCCAATTCACAATAACCAAGTTTTAGTCCTATTAAATTTCAATCCAAGTCCAATCCAACTCTTCATCACATACTTGGACATCCAACAAACATTATAATTACCATAAAACATTACAAACACGAGCATCCACACATAGATCAAACCAATATATCACAAGTCCACCAACAAAAACCAAGCTTATAATACACCAACTAATACAACCAACACACATCTTAAACACCTTAAAAGGAGAACTAAAAGCATGAAAATAAACCTACTTACTTTGTTTGAATTTCCTAAAGTTTGGTTATGCTTGTCCTTTTCTTTCTTTCCTTTCTTCTTTCTTTTTCTTTTCTTTTTCTCTTCCTCTCTCTTCCTTACGTTTGTTTCTCTCCTTATTCCGGTGGCTACGGGCTTCACTCCAAAAAATAAATAAAGTTCATCTTTCCCTTATATATATACTCCATTTTCTAGCCTTATTAAGTATGCCACACGTCCAAAATCAAATTAGCTAAGTATAAAGTAAAGGAAAGGTTTGGAAGGCAAGCTAGCATTTTTTGGAAGTCAAAAGTGATGAATTGGCTTCCAAGCATTTAATTTAAGTGCTTAGGTGGATAAAGAAAACTTAGGCTAAATAACCACATTAATGAGATGGGTTCATGTAATTAGACATAATTTCTTTCATAAAAACTCAGAAATTCTCCTTTTGAAAACTTGGAAATTCATTTCCCAAAAAAAAAAAAAAAAAAACTATTCCAACGAGTGTTACCTCTTGAACAAGCTATACTAAAACAGAAATAACTTTTTATATAAAGATCTAAAAATCAAAAAAGTTTATAAAGGGCTAGGAGACACGAGATGAAAAACTTTTATTCTTTGTATTTTACCTATAAATCAATCTAAAGTCCTCTAATAAATCACATAAAATGCGGACAGAATATAGTCCTTAAATCATGGATTTTGCGTATTTGATTTCTTTAAGATTGAAACCATTAATCTTAAGAATAATAACTTTAATTTAACATAAATCACATATTTCAAGCGTTAATTTCTCATGATGTAATGAGAATTATACATATACTTCTTACATACATATATATAAATACTCGAATATGTTTTGCTTTATCGTTAAGTATTTCCACGGGGGTTACGATAGGAAAGGAAAATCCACTAAACAATGCCCATCAAATTATCTTTTGGATCTTTATGAAGCATAACGGTATGCATCCAGCCTTCCTTAAAGATAGCCTAAATACAAAGGTGTGAATGCATATGAGAAACCTTGTGAAATCATCATAGCCATCAAAGTCCATCTAAGGTTGATATAATTGTCTAGAGAACTAACAAATATTATTTAACAAAGCCACATTGGTAGAAAAGCTACGAGCTCATATATATATATATATATATATATATATATATAAAGGAGTTGGTTGATCTATAATGTTAAAGATAAAAAGAAAAAGAGAGAAAGAAAAGAGAAGATGACTCACTTATCTATTGGATCGTTATTTTTCTTAGCATACTTGTCAATGAAGTTCGGAAAATTGAATAGACGATGGCTATGAAGTTTTGCTTTACTTGCTCTTTTCAACAATTTTTGATGTCAAGTAAATTTATGCTTCCAAATAAAGGAAGTTTTAAGAGAATGGAGACATCTTCTGATGTAGGGGTGATTTCTCCTCAAGCAACCATGAAAGTATGAGTATAGGTGTTCCAATGAGAGAGTATGTCTCTTTACTTAAGTTTGTCCGTGTTAAAGAGGACGTCTAGGTGCTTGCTCGGGAAAATCACATCAAAAAATCCAACAACTCTTAGTTGGTCAACATATTTGTTCGTCTTAAGAGTTCTATCCGTCCATTCTCGCCATTTGGAAAAACTAGTCTTGTTTTGTCATTCTTCTCTTTATTTAAAAGAGTGAAATAAGCTAAAGGAATACCGACTCTCTAGCTAAGTAGTTCCCACCCAAGCTTTAGCATTTCTTGAAAAGTCATTTGAAAGAATACTTAGATCTTTCTATGTATTATAAGGGGGGATAGGGATGTCTTCTCCTTTAGCCCTTCAAAGTCTATTAGCCAATGGAATATTTTTCTTCTTCGTATGTTGATGTTCTGTTTTGTAACCTAAAAAAAAAAAAGTAAATAAGTTAGTAAAAAAAAAAGATTTTTTTTTTTTTTTTGTGTTGGCAAGCACTACCTCCTATAGAAAGGGTCAACGAGCACTACTTGCCACCGATAGGGCTAGTGAACATTGCTTGCCATTGAAAAGAGTGACAAGCACTCGCTCGCCATGAAAAGGGATTGAGTACTAGTATTTGTTACCATTATTTTTTTAAAAAAAAATTTGATGTCAAGTATAATAATAATAAAAAAAAATTGAAAAGGTTGAAATTTTTTTGGGTAGCTACAAAAAAACAAAAAGCACACACACACACACACACACACACACACACACACACCCACATAAAAAGACCTAAAATTTTAAATCTAAAAAAAAAAAAAAGAATTTGAGAGTCAGTTGGCGTAAACCAAGAAGAAAGTCGCTAGTTGCACACCAATAACTCGCTGGTGCGGGGCTATAACGTGGTTGCTTGGTTGCAAGCTACTAGCATGATTGTGCAATTTGCAATGTTGTTAGTTCAATATATATATGAAAAAAATTATTATCACGATATAAAATTTTACTTATTATTTCTTCATGTGTCATGGAAGTTAAAAGTCATGATGATATTCTTAGAAATTTTAAGTGGAGATCCGGGTTGTAAAGTTTTTTCTTTTTTTCCTTTTTATATGGGTGGCTAGGGAAGCAAAATTTTTCATAATATGCTTAATGAGTCCTTTTTAGATTTCAAAAGTCAAGAAGACTATTTATTTTATTATTATTATTATTTCTTTTAAAAAAATTATATGAATTTATATTCTTTTTAATATATATAGCTTTGGATCTATGGAAACCTATAGGCTCTCAAGAGGGAAGGAATTTTGTGCTCGTGTAAGAAACATTTACAAACATGAATCACGAAGTGATGTCGGACATAATAGCAAAAAAACAATATCTAGGTGGAAAGCATGGCTTAACAAGTCCTTAAGCTCTAAAATATTGTCTCATTGATTACTTTTCTTCCTATCTATGAAGTTGATGGGTAATTAATTATAAATTAATAATCAATACCAATTAAGCATGATTAATGTAAGCTTCTTAATGATTAGGTCCGTGATTATGACTTTGAATATGAGTTTTGCCACTCGAGTCTAATATCATGATACTTGTCTCTAGCATGGATATGCACTAAAGACATTAAGAAAACATACACACACACACACGAGAGATTTCAAATAATGTATGCTTTAATAATTTATTATTATTATTATTATTATTTTAAAAAATCAATAGGTTATTTCTTTCTTTTAAATCTACGATGTTGGATCCGCATAGTGCTCTAATATTACTTATTTATTTATTTTTATTTCGTCATACATAGTTGTAGAATATCCTTACTAATAATGTTGTCGGTGTAGGAGGCTAAATGTATATGCACGATATTTTAATTAATTAATTTAGCTAATTTTTATTCAATATTAATTCATGTTTTTTTTTTCATTTTTGACATGGGTCTAAATTGCATGACAAATATGAATAGTCCTAACTCAACACAAGGTCTTGGGTTACAAGGATGCACCCAAGTATTCTAATATGGCCAAAGTCCATGTCTTTTTCTTAGAATGCATTAGGAAGATTAGTTTGATGGACTCGAAGCAAGAACCACTAAAGGAAGGCCTAATGGTTACTTTCTTTAGCCTTTGCTAGCAAGTTGAAGTAGTTAAGCCCAAAGAACCTAAATTTTTCAAACCAAATCTAACTCGTCCAAACTAAAATGATGTGGCATGATACCATCTCATATCATTATGAGAGCGTCTCATAATTTTGGCATCAAAGAACTTTTTCCTTCAAAGCTTTCAATCTTTAGCAAAAAAAAAAAAAAAAAAAAAAAAAAAAAAAAAAAAAAACTCGCTTAACTCTCTATCTTAAAAATCTCCTACTCACACACCAAACAAGACCCAAAGCTCTTATTGTTTGGACTTTGACTATCCACTTGCATCTTGCTAGTATTGGTTGCTTCTCCTCCCACGTCTCTCACTATTTGTATCATTTCTACTTAGTTGGTTGACCGTTGCTTCTATAAGTCACAACACTAGCTCTCTAAATCTTGAGTAGCCTATCGACTAATTGTTTAATCAGTTCTCAAGAAACCCTCTCTATAGTGTTAATCAAGGAAAAAGTTTCAATTTCTATTGTTTCTATTAATAGTCTAGAATAGTCGTATATTCTATTAAAAGTAGTATGTCATGATTCAATTTCCAACTAATTTTATAGTTGGAATAAATGATCCTTTTATGGACTTTTATAGTTAGTGAACAAAAAATGAATTGTATGCAATATGTAAGTTCACTTTTTTCATGATGAGTTTTATGTTAGGGTTTAGTTCAAATGTATGGCCGAGCCATTCTTCATTTGTTGGCTTCTAGTTTTGGTTAAAAAAATTTTTTGATTAAACAAAAAGGAAGATTATTAAGTGTTTCCCTTGTTGTTTCCTATGATCTATGCCTTTTCTTTTTAATTTATCATTGGTTGACACTTAAATGTTAATTTTTAAGCTTTTTTTATTATTTGCATGTGTTCCTAGTGTCCGACCTTTATCCGCATTGTTCACATTCTATTTTGATGCGATTATTTGGATATCAATTCTCATGGTTTTCATCCTCCGATCGAATGGTTTTAAACTATTTAATCAAGATTGTCTATGTGATTAAAAGGAGATGAGTGGTACTATAAGTGAGAGCGAGGATGACATGCTCTCCAATAATCGGATTGAGTTACCATTAGGTGAGGAAGGCAATTATGGTGGAAGTGCAAGTGGGGGAGTTGTTCTTCGAAAGTGGTTGTGGACTTATTTTGAAGATGGAATTTTGATAGAATATGTGAAGAAGAATGGGGAAAGGAATTAGAATGCTGTTCATAAGCACTCAAGGCTCTTCTGTTGTGGCAAAAGCTATAAATTGCAATGGGCCAATCACTTAAGGCCTAATTTAAAGAAGTGATCATTTACTCAAGAAGAAGAACGACTAATCATTGAACCGCATGCCAAGATGGGAAACAAATGGTCACAAATGGCTGGACATGTAAATGTATAATTTATTATTGTTGGATATTTATGCTACTTTATAGTCCTTTTTTCTTTGCATTGACATTCGTATGAATATTAGTAGGAGAATATGGACTAAATGCCATGGACCATTAGTTATAAAGTGTTAATTGAAACAATGATGTATGCTTTAAGCTTGTAGTTACAATCGATAATCTCATCTACAAGATCAAATGGTTTAATATTTTTTTCTTCACATAATTCCATGTTCTTTTTTCTTATTATGTTTTAATTTTAAGTTTTTAGTGTTTTGATATATATACTAGTTGTTTACTTGCGCTACACTCGTGGATTCGGACGAAACTTATAAAATTTTATTTTAAAAAATAATTTTAATTTGATGGTATGTATTACATTATTGGTTACTAAAATATATTAAATAGAAGGTAAAAACGAAGCTATTGTTTTTTAAAACTTCTATGCTTAACAAAATATTTATTATGTTTTTTATAATTTTTCCGCTAAAAAGAACATAATTTATTCTTTTATAATAAAATTCTTAACCGATAGCTTGTAATAAAAATTCTAAAATTCATGGCCTCTTAACGAAAAACTTTTCTTATAATTTTTTTCAAAAAAAAAAAAATCTAAGATAAATTATTTAAAAAATACTTTTAATCTTATTTTGTAATATATATATATATATATTAGTTTAAGAATAAAAAAATCCATCATATAACTTATATTAAATTTTTCTGAAAGAGTAAATAACAATATTCTAAAAAAAAATTAAAATTTTGTATATCGATTTCTCTCTCCTCCCTTATGTCTCTTTATTTCTCCCTCCTCTTAACAATTAGTAACCAAATTATAATATAAATAAAGTTGCAAATCGAAATAAAAATTATTAAAAAAATGAGGGACCAAAAAACAACATAGCAAAACTTTACATATAGAATGTCCCGAAAAAACCTTAAAATTAGTAGTTAAGGATGACCGATAATGTATGCGGAATAAATACATAAAAAAACTTAAAATAACAAAAATGTTATGAGTGTGTGAATAGTCTAAAAAAATAAAAACCCCACCTCTTTCTTTTAGGGTTCTTTGTAATTTTTTTTTTGGCTAAAATTTATCAAGAACTCCTAAGATTGAAAAAAAATTAATTATACCATACAAATTAAGGATTATTTTCTTTTACTTATCTACTAGATAAGTAAAAGAAAATAATCCTTAATTTGTATGGAATCGATCAAGCCTAACTCTTTTCTTCCCTTCTTTTTTTCGTACTAGGCTAGAATTAACCCAACCCAATCACACATGGATTGGGCTTAGCCCAACCCAAAAACCCAAACAAAACTCTCCATTCTCTCTTCTTTCCTCTTCCTCATCCGATTGCTCACTCTCTTTCTTATACTTCTTCTTCCTTCCTTCCTTTTTCTTCCTCTCTCTCTACCTTACACTAGTTCATCCCTCTTTCTCTTTTTCTCTCTCTCTCTCTTTTTTTTTTTTTGTCTTTCTTCATCTTATTCCTCTCTCTCGGCCTCATCTCTTTCTTTTTCTCTTCTTCTTCTCAATCCATGGAAGAAACGAACCGGAGATTTCCGATTGTTCTTTCCTCCTTTCTCTCTCAATCCTTCTTTCCCTCTCACCCTATTAATCTTCCTCTTCCAATTGGATCAAAATCCTAAATTGAAAATTTTTTCCAATTTGGCCGAACCCTAAGTTTTTAATTTTTCAATTTTTCCTTTCAAATGGCCTTAATTGGCTTTATTTCTCTTGAGATCAAGCTAATTCAAACCTAAATGAGTCATTATTTTCAAAACCCCTTAATTTTTATTGTTGTTGAAGATCTTAGAAACCCTAGGTTTCGGTCTCATTTTATTCGGGTTCAATTCATGGTTTAAACACCGAATTAAAACACCTATTAAGTTCCATTAGCCTTCCTTTCTATTATTCAACCTCAATTTCAATCCATAACAAAATCTTCAAATTCCAAAACCCTAACTATCAAGAAACCTAAATTCCCAAAAATTCCAATTTAATTTCTAAATTCAAGCTCTCTATTCGGTTAAACAAATACAAATGTATATGTGTGTGAGTGTGGAGGGGGAAATTCGGGTTGATGATGATGGAGAGGTGCTTGTCGCTTCAGCAATTAGGTAAAAATTCTTTTCTCTTTCGTTTTTTCTGGTTTTTTATTTGATTTTAATTTTCGGAGCAGCATTCCCTCCTTTTTTGTTTCCTACTACCTTTTTTTTTTTTAAAAAAAGAATTCAATTGATTGAGACTAATCCCATTTCCTTGTGTTTTTGATGCTATTTTATTTTCTCGTTGCTTCTTATTGTGATTGTTTTGGTTCTCCACTGTTTGATGGTGTGAGATTTTATTACGGGATATGAAGTGGGGGTTTTGATTGATAGGTTAATGATTTTTAAGAAAAAATAGTAGATGGCGACTGGAGAAGGAGGAGAAGATTAGAAGAGAAGGTTAAGGAGGCGAGAGAATAAAAGTAATAGTTGCAGCATTGTAATTAGGAAAGCAAATGAGGGTGTAAAATTAAAAAAAAAAAAGCATCGTGGACAAAAACATTGTTTTATGAATAGGGTCGTCCACGGTGTTCGTGTAGGGGTAAACGAGTGCATAAACAGACTTCACCTTCACATCTTTTAGAGTCTTTTGTAATATTTGGGTTTGGATTTTCAATGTGTAATAATCATTGTATTTAGTTTTTTTTAATTGAGTTTTTTTTTTATGTTGGGTGTTCAAATTTTTAATATTGGATGTTTTGACATTTTTTAGGCATTATATAAACCATTACCAATGGTAAAAAAATGGGTATAATACCAGTTCAAATGACTTCTTTTTCTTTTTTAAGAATGAAATGCTTCCAAAGAGCATTGTAGTCGTTTAAAAAAAATAATGGTAAACTTATAAAAATTTAGACCATTTTTTAATCTGGAATTTTGACGCTGCAAACATAATTATAATACGAGTGCTTTTTAATACAAATATTAAAAAAAAAAGATATAAAGTATAATTTTTGGAAAATAGATACAAATATTAAAAAAAAAAGATGCACAGCATAATGTTTGAAAAATAGGAGTACAACACACGATGTTTTTAGTAATTCACTTAAAAATTAATACATTGTGTGGATGAGTCTATGTTCGGATTTTCTAGTTTAACTTGCAAGCGTTTACACTTTTCTTTCATCTCGGTATATGTAGTTAGTTTGAATCCTGAATTATGACTCAAAGTAAAAAATAATAATCCAAAAATCATACAAAAAGATACTAATTTTTAGAAAATCTAATTTTTGTGATCCGAGCACACCAATTCCTAGGATCGAGTCTTGAGTTAAATATAAAAAAATGGCCATTAACTTGATAAATTGCTACATTAAACTTGTATTTAATCTTTAAAATCAAGTGTGATTGATCATAATTTTTTATTTATATAATAAATATTCACTTATAATCAAGTGTTCTTTTGCCTACGTGTGTTTCCATGGTTTGGGCCTACAAACCCCGAGGAAAAGACCCACTTACAAGGGGAAGGATCCAATCCATTCAATTTGCCAAGAACAATGCCTATGGAAATATAGCTTGAAAAGGATGCTACAATCTTGGTCTCCCCATTTCCATTTCTCCAAGCAATATCTCAACCTTTTACGGACAAACAAAAATCTCTTCAAGTTTCTTCTTATTTTTTCTACTTTTATATCTGCGTTTTGTGTATGTTTTTTATTTTGTTAACGACAACTCCGTAACACCCTCTATTTCTTTCACCCTTTCAGTAAATGCAAATTAGTAAATATAAATTGCAGGTTTACTAAGAGGTGGCCATTTTTAATTGCTAGTTATGGTTTACAGTTTATACAAGTCAATGTTTCTTACTAGTATGCTACAATCACGATAACCGTATTTCATCCTTAACTACTATCTATTTTGTCTAAAAATCCTATCCCAAACTTTCCCTAATTAATTACCTTTATTATATGTAAATTGTCTGGTTAACATCATTCCCAAACTTATATGAAATGATTTGAATTATGATTGTTTTTCTTTCTTGATACAAATTGCGGGGTTGGATTGCTAAAATCAAGTTTGATTGTGTTTTCCCGAACCCCACCAGTCGTATCATTCATAAGTTGCTATATTGGTGAAGGGGATGTATTTCGAGGATCATATTTTAGGTTTGCCCGACTTCATCCTTCATAATATTCTCTCTTTGTGCCTAGAAAAGATACATTCCGAGTGATTGTCTTGTCTAAAAGATGGAAGCTTGTGCTTGATACGTATCCTAATTTGGATTTTGATTGCCGTGACTTTGGAGAAGAAAATATTATGACAGAGATGCAACCCGAAGATCTAACGGAAGAGAGCAACCCCGAATTTTGGGAAACTCTTGAGAAGTTAATTAATTGTGTGGATGGGTCTATGTCTAGATTCTCAAGACACAACTTTAGCTTGAAAAGGTTTAAACTTTTGATCAACGTCCCCGATATGAAGTTGGCTTCTGCTTTGGATGAATGGATCCGGGTCGCTATTGAAAATGGTGTCAAAGAGGTTGATCTTTCTATTGATACACCCGGTTATTTCTTCTATAGAGACTTTTATACGTTGCCCAAAACATGTTGGGTTCCTTACTAGTTGGAGGATGTCCCAAAGGTTTGTTTATATGAGCTTAATTTTGGAGCCCATGTAGAAGAGGATTTTTTAATCACTTAAAGGGTAATTTTGGTATTTTCAAATAAACGTTATCTTCTTTTTTATTATGAAATCAAATTAGGGAAGAAGCAAGAGAGAAAAAGAAGAGAAAAGGAGTGAGAGTTGTAACTTTTAAGAGAAAGAGGGAAAAGAGTTTTAAGCACAAATCGGTCATATTAAAATTGAGTTTTTGGGTTCGTTAACCGTTGGATTGAGCTCAAATTTGGTGGGCACGTTCAGGAGAGGCAGGCGCACATTGTGACGGTGAAGATCTGGTTTTAAGTCCTAGAGAGGGAGATATTATGCTCGTAACGGTATCGTTTTCTAGTGAAATCCGAACTTGGTTTCTTCTACTTTCTTTGTGTATCATCTTTTGATGTGGTTTACCAAAGGTGTGTAACCTTTGATGTTTGTGGCTGATTATTCATCTAGTTTAATCTAGAGAGGACTCCTTGTATCCATTATTGTTGATAGTGGAAGTTATAGTGGACTCCGGTCCCATGGTTTTTTCTTTCTTAAATTAAAGAGGTTTTTCATGTAAAAATTTATGTGTGCTTTGTGTGATTGTGATTGGTTGCTTATTTTTATATTATTAGTTACTTGTTTGGCTTGGGTATTTGGTTGTAGCATGTGGTTGATTGTTCAAGCAAGGACAAAGGGGTTCGTTGTGTTATTTGTGTTTCTTTGCCCAACAAGTGGTATTAGAGCTTGATTATTTATTTTCCGCTTGAACAATATGGAGAGTAACATTAAAATGATAAGTCTGAATGGAACCAATTATCACATATAGAAGAGAAAAATGAAAGATCTCTTATATGTAAAGAGTTGGCATCTACTTATCTTTGCTTCGGATAAACCTAAGACAAAAACAGATGAGGATTGGAAGTTTGAGAATGAACAAGTTTGTGCCTTTATTCGTCGAGTACATTGATGATAATGTTTCTAATCATGTTGCAGAGAGGTGAATGCTAAAACTTTATGAAGAAGTTTGAAAGATCTCTTTGCCAAAGAAACAGGGAATAACAAGATGTACTTGATCAAGCGATGGATGAATTACAAGTATAAGGAGAGAACTTTGATAGTTGATCACATTAATGAGTATATAGGAATTGTTCAATAAATGAATGCCATGAAAATAGAAATTGATGATGAGGTCCTTGGGTTGTATTTGCTTAGCTCATTATTGGATTCTTAGGAGACATTTCGTACATTACATTGCAATTCTACTCCTCATGGGAAGATGACCTTGACCTATGCTAGAAATGAGGTTCTCAATAAAGAGGTCCGAAGGAAGACTTAAAATTTTTCTTCCCGATCCGATGTGTTGATTACTATAGAAAGGGAGAGGAGTAAGAGTAAGAGTCCAAAGGCAGAGGCAATAGCAGAAGTAAGTCCAGGGGCAAGTTTGCAAATATGGAGTGTTATCATTATGGTGATATGGGTCACATTAAGAAATATTGTCAAAATTGAAGAAAGATAACAAGAAGAACAAAACCAAGTAGAATGGCAGTGATGCCGATGAAGATCGAGTAAATGCAACCGATGAGTTCCCGATTGCATATGATGTCGATGAAGTCAACATAGCATCGGTGAGCATAGTTGGGTGGTTGACAGTGGAGCTTCGATACATGCTAGTACATGCTACATCTCATAGGGAGTTTTTTAGCTCATACATGCCCGGTGATTTTGGGGCGGTAAGGCTTGGCAATAATGGGTTATCCAAAATTACCGGTATTGGAGATATGTGCTTAGAGACTCATACTCGGAGTAAAACTAGTTCGAAAAATGTGAAGCATGTTCTTGACTTTTGCTTGAATTTAATCTCAATTGGAAGACTTAATGATGAAGCGTTTTGTAACACATTAAAAAATGATATGTGAAAGTTGTCCAAGGGTTCTATGGTAATAGCAAAAGGAGAAAAGTGTTCCTCTTTATATGTTATGCATGCTAAATTATTGAATGATGATGTGAATGTTATCGGAGGTGAGGAAGCTACCGAACTATGGCATAAGAGATTGGCTCACATGATCGAAAAAGGCATGACAGTGTTAAAAAAGAAAAATTTATTGTCTAATATGCAAGATAATCGCTTGAAGAAGTGTCCGCATTGCTTGGCTGAAAAACGAACGAGTTTCCTTTAGGAGCCATCCACATACAAGGAAACAGAATCCCCTCGAGTTAGTACATTCGGATGTGTGTGGTCCTATGAAGACAATGTCAAAAGAAGGTTCCTATTACTTTGCAACATTCATAGATGATTACTCAATGAAGGTATGGGTTTATACATTGAGATCGAAAGATCAAGTTCTTGGTGTTTTCAAGTTGTTTTAGGCTTTGGTAGAAAGATAAATAGGGAGAAAGCTCAAGTGTATTCGAACCGACAATGGTAGTGAATATTCGAGGCCCTTTTGATGAGTATTGTAGGACTCAAGGCATTAAGCATCAAAAGACTCCACCAAAGACACCTCGGTTAAACGGGCTGGCTGAAAGGATGAATAAGACTCTAATTGAGAGAGTCGGATGCTTGCTTTCTCATGCACGATCGCCTAAGTCATTTTGGGGTAAGGCATTAAATACTCGTTGTTTATTTAATAAATCTTTCACCTTGTGTGCCTTTGTCATTTGATGTTCCGGACAAGGTTTAGAGTGGCAAAGATATATCCTATGATCACTTAAAAGTTTTTGTATGTAAGGCATTTGTGCATGTTCCTAAAGATGAGAGATCTAAGCTTGATGTGAAGACAAGGCAATATATCTTCTTAGGGTATGGTCAAGATGAGTTTGGTTATAAACTCGTATGATCCAGTTGAAAAGAAGATAGTCGAAGTTATGATGTTGTATTTTTGGAGGATCGGACCATATAAGATATTGAGAAGACGAGAGCGGACAATGATTGAGTCTTATGATGATCCGATAGATATAGAGCTAGTTGAGCCGGTTCATTACGTACCGTAGTCGAGCCAGTTGAACATGATGTGCAAAATGGTTCATAGATAGAGCATGGAGTATAGAATGATAATGATCCGCATGAAAACGATCAAATTCATGATGATACATCGAATGATGAACATGATCGGATAGTTGAACAAGGTGGTGAACATGTTCCATCGAAACCTTCGGACGATCTAACGAGAGATCGAAGACCTTCTACTAGGTACTCTACCGATGATTATGTGTTGTTGATCGACGAGTGGAGAACCCGAATCCTATAAAAAAGCAATAGAAGATGAGAACAAAAAGAAGTGGATTGAAGCCATGAATGATGAAATGAAGTCTTTACATGAGAATAATACCTTTCAATTGGTAAGACTACCCAATGGTAGAAGAGCTTTGAAAAACAAATAGGTGTTTAAAATCAAGCATGAAGAACACACCACACATCCTAGATTCAAAGCAAGATTAGTGGTGAAGGGTTTCAATAAGAAAAGAGGTATTGATTTTGAGAAGATATTTTCTCCGAGTAGTGAAGATGTCATTTATTCGGGTTGTTCTCGACCTAGCAACGAAGTCTTGATTTGAAATTTGAACGAGATGGATGTCAAGATAGCCTTTTTACATGGTGAATTAGAAGAGGAAATCTATATGAAGCAACCGGAGGGGTTCAAGTTGAAAGGCAAGGAAAATCGGTATGTAAATTGAAAAAGAGTCTTTATGGTTTGAAGCAAGCGCCTAGACGAGTGGTACAAGAAGTTTGACTCGGGTATGGGGAGCAAGGCTATACGAGAACCACATCGGATCATTGTGTTTATGTGCAAAAATTTTCCGATGATGACTTTATTATATTGTTGCTTTATGTAGATGATATTTTAATTGTTGGCGGGAATGCTTCAAGGATAGTCGACTCGAAAAAATAGTTGAACAAGTTCTTTGACATGAAGAACTTAGGACCAATAAAGCAAATTTTAGGCATACGCATTGAACGTGATAGAGCAGCTAAAAGATTGTACTTATCTCGGGAGAAGTATATTAAAAAAGTACTTTAGAGATTCAAAATGGACAAAGCTAAAATGGTTAGCTCTCTTCTTGCAATCCACTTTAAGCTAAACATCCAACGGAGTTCTTCTACGAGATGAGGAGAAGGAGGAGATGCGAGAGAGTTTCATATGCTTCGACTTGTTGGGAGTTTGATGTATGCCATGGTATGTACAAGGCTCGATATTGCTCATGTTGTTGGGGTAGTTAGTAGATTTTTGTCAAATCCAAGAAAAGAGTTTTGGAATGCGGTTAAGTTGATAATGAGATATCTTAGAGGCATAAGTAATATGAAGTTGTCTTATGGTGTTAGAAAATCAAACTTGATTGACTATACGGATTCGGACATGGCAGGAGACATTGATTCTCGCAAGTCAACATCCGGATATTTGATTACTTTTGCAGGGGAGCTATAGCTTAGCAATCTAGATGTAGAAGTGTGTTGCTTTTTTCATTACCGAGGCGGAATTCATTGCAGCAATGGAAGCTTGTAAAGAGTTGCTATGGATGAAGAAATATGTTTAGGAACTTGGCTTCAAGCAAGATAGGTATATGTTGTTTTGTGATAGTCGAGTGTTATCCACCTTGGTAAAAATTCTACATTTCATGCTAGATCGAAGCATATTGATGTTTGATACCATTGAATTAGAGATTTTTTGAATTGCAAGTTGTTGGAACTTGAGAAAATCCACACCGATGATAATGGTTCCGATATGTTGACTAAAGCATTACCAAGGGAGAAACTTGAGGCTTGTCATTCAGTCATCGGGATGGCGAATACCTCCACCTAGTCATGAGGGGGAGATTTATTGGGTTTCCCTCCTAGTTAGAGGATGGCCCAAAGGTTTGCCTACATGAGTCCAATTTTGGAGCCCATGTAGAGGAGGATTTTTTAATCACTTAAAGGATAAT